GTGGCCGGTGTGTGTGGCCCGGTGGGGCACCTCCTGTCGCCGTCTACGGGGCCGATCTTGACCATCCGGGCGTCCTCATCATCGGGCGGGTGTCCGGCTTGCTCTGCGCGATCTGTCTGGAGGCCGTGGTGGGGCGTTGCAGGGGGCAACGTGAGGAAGCTGGCTGGAGGGATGGGTGGTCTGCCCACCCGTCACCGGCACGGGGGTGTGCCGGTCGAGGTCTCTCTCCGCTCTGCCCCTTCCTCTTTCCCCTGGCCTGGTTGCCTCCGGCCCCATCTGTCGAGGCTTGTCGGCGCTAGCGGCTCTGACGCTGTTAGGGGTCTGCTGGTGGTGGAGATTCGCTACTCTGGGCGGCCATTGGGGGTGTCGGGTGGCAGGGCGGCGGCTCTGCGGTGGGAGCTGCGATGTTCACGGGCGGAGCTCGCAGCTCGGGTGCGGACTGGCGGCCCTGGTCGCGTGGGCGGCGGGGTGGCTCTGGCATGGCGATCCGTGGCAGTGGTGCGGCAGGTCTCTCGGCCAGGCGCACCCTGATCGGAGGTGGAGTGGTATGCCGGGGTGAAATCCCTGTCTGACCGTGGTCAGACCGACGGTGGTGGCGTCCGCGGGCATCATCCCCTTCTTGTAGGCTCCGTCGCGGTCTCTCCTAATCCTCCGTGTTGCTCCCGATGAAAATCTTGATCCTTTGGATCGGGTGGTGGCGGCGCAATGGTGTCGTGTCCTTCCTGAAGGCACTACCTTGGGGCGCGCGGTTCGTCAGCGGTCAGCTACGTTCTTCACGGTGGCTTGTTCTCTGTGGAGGGCTCCGTCATCTTCGTAGTGATGCTTGTTGTACATTTGTTGTTTGCTTCGAGTTGGCTTAGCTGATCTTCGGCACCTCTGTATCTTGCTTTGGGTGCGTGCGTTTGGGGTGTCGTGTTGTATGGTTCGGATGTATGAGGTTCGGTGCTTTATATATAAAGCGGGGCGAAAGCCTTTTTCGGTAACCTCGTACCTAGATCATCTATGTGTCCTTGCTCCACAAATTCCATAAACCATGAGTATTGCCGCGAAATCCCTGCAACACTAGCATTTTTACATACTATGATAATACGCATTACAACCATATGTTGTTTGTATAACTAGGTATTTGACCGTCCTTTGCTACGGGTACAAATATTCTAGTACATTAGCTCATAATTTACCTGGCCGTATTATATGATTGTGTAAATAAATGTTACCAAATCTCGTGCGTGATTTTATTTTAGAATCACTTATTGACTTATCAAAGAAAATATAGTTTATTTGGTAAGTCAATAAAAGACGGGACAATTAAGGCGGTTTCCAAAGAATAATCATCAGAGAAAAAAAAATATGAAATGTTGGACGAAGCACTTCGCGTGGCAGAAAATGGGACACTATTTTTTAAAGGTATATAATTATAGATATAGGAATAAATGTAGATAATATAGATATAGAGATATAGAGATAAGAATGTGGCTGATGTGATTTTTTGTTGTGATGATCGTAGGGCGCTGCCTCCGCTCGATGGACGGCTAGCATCGCCACGAAAGTATGCAGCTTTGGACCTAGCCGCTGCCTCCCAAAAACCCTAGCTTTCTGCCTCTCACCGGCGCCGGTGCGGTCCATCCCGTCTCCGGTGGCCCTATGGCCATGGAGGCGGGATGGATCTCGGCCCTTGCCGGTGGGAGGGCTTCGTTTTTAGATCTTTTTTCGAGCTTTGTTAGGGTTTGTATTCTCAGAAAGGCGAGACGGTGGCGGCTCCCTGAAGATGGAATAAATGTCTCCCCGCCTAGCCCCCATTCCGGTGACGTGTCTTGCATCATCGGTGGGCGTGTGGAGTTGTGTCTCCGGCGGATCTGTCTTTGGTGGATTTGCTCGGATCTGTTTGTCGTTCGTCTTCGTTCGTGTGTTTTCAGGTTGGATTCTTTTGATCTACAATCTTCATCCGCGGCGGTTGCTGTTCTGGTGTGTTGGTTCTACGAGGCCTTAGCACGACGACTTCCCGACTGTCCGCTAAAACAAGGTTTGCCCGGCTCCGGCGATGGAGGGGCGATGACAGCGCGCGCCTTCGGCTCGCTTCAGTGCTTGTAGTCGTCGCTAGGTGGTCTATGAATCTAGATGTAATTTTTATTATTTCTAGTGCTCGTTGTACTACCATGATTGAAGATGAATAGATTGAAAGTTTTTCCCACAAAAAAAAAGAAGCATCGCCACGAAAGTTGTCCACTCGTAATGTCCATGAAAAATGGAGGGCGTGTCTTATAAATAATTAAAAACCTTCCATTCAGAACTTCCCTCAATAAAAAGATAAACCTTCGATGCATTTTTAGATGGAATCAACAACTTGTTATCAGTGAAATGCCCACGTGCCAAACAATCTCTATTCAATCGATGGCTAGAATTTAATACTCGCCTTATCTCCAACTCTTGCAATAGGCAAGTTGGATATGCAGGATATATATCCATCAATTAATTATTAGAAGCTGGCAATCCATTCCGAAGAGATTCACTGCCCTTTTTTAGAGGCGAATTAGAAGAAAGGGATACCCGGCCCAGCTACGAACGTTCTTTGGCAAGCTACATATGTCTCGGTATATATAGCCCGCCGTGTTTCGGTGTTTGGGCGAGCATCTTTGCGTGGCCGCCGGCGCAACAAACTCGTACGTCCGTCGGCGTCGACTCCGGCGCGGCGCCTTTATAAAAAGCGGCAGATCGACCACCGCGCGCAGCGAGCCCGCGGCCAGCTAGCTTGCTTCGCCTTAAACAATTCTTCCGTAATAAACAGCAGGGCAGCAGCAGCAGCGGGAGCAGGAGCAGCTACTACCTCACGTACATATATAGAAGCCATGCAGCTGTGCGGCCACTAGCTTGTGTTGCTCCATCGATCGGATCCGGCCGGCATATCGACGACGTGCTGTGGGTATATAGCTAGGCGACGGCGCCGATGGCGGCGGCTCTGATCCTCCTGCTCGCCGCCGTGGTGGGCGTGGCCCCGACGGTGGCGCCGGGGCCGGTGGCACGCGGCGCTGGCGTTACGCTGCATGTAGAGCATCACCAGGTACGTACGTACGCGCTCTGGCAGCCAGTCCTTGACTGCTACTCTTCTTCTTGGTGCTGCATATAATCGCGTCGGTCGATCTCGGTGTCTCTTACGTACGTTTTCGCGTGCTGCTCCAATTGATTGATGGTTTGTTGTATTTCTGAATTAAGCACTAACCGGCGTACGTTATGTTATGTGTTTCCGCGTATCGCTGCGCGCGTTATAGAACTGTCGAGATAGCTAGCTTTCCGGGTCAAACAATTGTTAAGCCTTGGCATGGGCATTTTGGTTTGGTTTTGTTTGGTTTAATATATGTACGCGTACGTGCGTGCATGCATATGCATGGTGATGGCGGTGCAGGTTGTGGTGGACAACGGCGTGGTGCAGGTAACGGTCTCCAAGCCGCAGGGCCAGATCACCGGCGTACGCTACGCCGGCGAGCACAACCTCCTGCACTTCACCAACGACGAAAACTCTGGCGGGTAACTATCATGCGTGCAGAAGTTCAAAAAAAAAAAAAAACTATCATGCGTGCATGTGTTCGGTTTTCATATACCCTGTACATGTTTCTGATCAACTGATCGTCATATATATTATTTGTATATATCCAGGTACTGGGACGTGGTTTGGAACTTTCCAGGGTCCGGTCATCCAAGAGGCATGATCGACATGTACGTACATTCTCACTGCAACTGACATGTATTATATGTCTCGACTGCATTATTCAATTCCAAAGACTAAATTCTGTTGCAACTTTGTGTTAATATTTATGCATGCTTTCCATGCAATTATTTGCGTTGATCCTTCCGTTAGTCTTAGTTTAACTAGCCAAATTCAGAGTAGCCACAATAAGCAATCCTACTTTACCATGGATTAATGTGAACATTTTTAGCTAGGAGCAGTACGAATTAACTGCAAATATGCAAGACAGGAGGTTAGTAATATCTTGCCTAACTGAAGTAGTAAATACACGCTGTACACTTCCTAGCCAAAGAGTTTTATTTTTCGAGCAAAGGCGTCAAGCGCGCGGCCTCCATTTTCATTGCCAAAGAGGAGTCTGAGAACACATACACGAACCGTATCATGGGATGTCACAAAACCGCTGTTACAAAAGACTAATTGACGAGCATAGAGCCAACGAATCACAGCCATATTTACCAGTTTTTTTTCAACTGCTTACTTTGTCCTGTGCCACACAGCTCAACAATTATTTAATGTGATCACTATAGTACACTCAAGAAAAGAAAACTAACCCACTACTATGTCAGCAGTACTTGTAACAGCTAGCTAGCTACTTGGGTTTGAAGCCACTTTACCTGATCCCATATTTACCGGTTTCTTCTTCAAGTGCTTACTTTGTCCTGCGCCATACAGCTCAACAAATATTTAAATGTGATCACCTAACCCGCTATATTTCACTCAAAGAAAAAACCCACTTTATCAGCCGTAGTACATATAACAGCGACTGGTATTTGGATTTGAAGCCACTTTACCTGACCGACCGTACCTGCATGCTAGCCAGTAATGAGCATGCCAAGAACAAATCTGAACGTTGCACCATGTTGAGTATTATTCAACAACAAGACTGAACTGTAAAGTGTTGCTCCTTCAGTACAATCTGGAAAAGGTAAAAAACAGTTATTGCTGAGTAAAAAGAGCATGCACGTACACCTATCAATTTACATGAAACAAGGAAAAATAGTTGCTCAACCAAATTTAGCCGTACGTCTTTGAATTCGCGCAGGCTGGACAGCACAGAGTTCAGGGTCGTATCGGCCAGCGAAGGGCAAGTGGAGCTCTCCTTCAGGAGCACCTACGACCCATCACGCCTCGGCCCTCAACAGCGTCCGGCTCACCGTCGACAAGAGGTGCGCCGTCGAACCTCCATCTTCTCCCCTGACAGGCGCATGCATGCAGCCAACCAATTGATTAACAGGTGTTGTTGATGATCAGGCTGGTGATGCTGAGAGGCAGCTCCGGGTTCTACTGCTACGCCGTCTTGGAGCACGCCGGCAGCTGGCCGGCCCTCAACATCACGGAGGCCCGGCTCGCCTTCAAGCTCAACACGGCCAGGTTCACCTACATGGCGGTCTCGGACGAGATCCAGAGGTACATGCCGCGGGCGGCGGACCGGGACGCGCCCCGCGGCAAGCCCCTGGGGTACAAGGAGGCCGTGCTCCTCCTCAACCCCGCCGAGCCGCAGTTCAAGGGCGAGGTGGACGACAAGTACCAGTACTCGCTCGACAACAAGGACAACGCGGTTCATGGCTGGATCGCCGGCGCTCCCGGCCCGGCCGTGGGGTTCTGGGTCGTCACCCCCAGCAACGAGTTCAAGACCGGCGGCCCGCTCAAGCGCGAGCTCACCTCCCACGTCGGCCCCACCTCCCTCACCGTAAGCGCGGCCACACATTTTAAACTTCAATCTTTTCCCATGAATGAAACTCCTGCATCACACGGTCGTCGATCTGATTTGCAGATGTTTATGGGAACACATTACGTCGGGAACGACATCGTGGCCAAGATCAAGGAGGGCGAGCACTGGAAGAAGGTCATGGGCCCGGTGTTCATCTACCTCAACTCCAACCACGAGAGGGGGGACTTCCACGCGCTGTGGGAGGACGCCAAGGCGCAGGCCGAGGCCGAGGCCAGCAAATGGCCCTACACCTTCCCGGAGTCGCCTGACTTCCACAAGGCCAGCCAGAGGGGCTCGGTCACCGGCCGATTGCTGGTCAGGGACAGGTTCCTGAGCGGCAAGGACATGCCCGCCCGCCGTGCCTACGTCGGCCTCGCCGCGCCGGGGCAGCCTGGCTCCTGGGCGACAGAGAGCAAGGGCTACCAGTTCTGGGCGAGGGCGTCGGCGACCTGCGGCAGCTTCGCCATCGGCAACGTCCGGGCAGGGGTGTACAACCTCTACGCCTGGGTGCCCGGGACCCTCGGCGACTATATGCACACGGCTCCCGTGAGAGTGGATGCCGGCGGCGCCGTTGTCCTCGGCGATCTCGTGTTCGAGCCGCCGCGATTGGGGCCGACGCTGTGGGAGATCGGCGTGCCTGACCGGAGCGCCGCCGAGTTCTTCGTTCCTGAGCCCAACCTCAAGTACGTCAACAAGCTCTTCCTCAGCAAGGACAAGTACAGGCAGTACGGGCTCTGGGACAGGTACGCTGAGCTGTACCCCGCCGGCGACCCCGTCTTCACCGTCGGCGAGAGCCACTACTCCAAGGACTGGTTCTTCGCGCACGTCACGAGGTAGCAGACAGAAAACCAACTCTTAAATCTTAATGCTCTAGTCTCCGGCCACGCCGACGATCTCTGTTTCTAGCTAAGAGTAAGAGACACAGCACAGGTAATAAAAGAAAAAAAAAACTGACTTGCTTCTGGTGTGCAGGAAGACGAGCAACGGCGAAGACGCGCCGACGACGCGACGTATCCGGTTCGGCCTGTCGCGCGTCGTCGCCGACGGCACCTACACGCTGCGAGTGGCGCTCGCCGCGGCCCACATGTCGAGGCTGCAGCTGCGGGTGAACGGGGCGCCGGTGACGAGGAGGGGATCGTCGGCCGACGCTGGAGTGTTCGTGACGCCGGACTTCGGCGACGGCAACGCGATCGCGAGGCACGGCGATCACGGCACGTGGTGGAGCTTCGAGTTCGGGATCAAAGGGTACCTGCTCATGGAAGGGGAGAACACCTTCAGCATCACGCAGGTCAGGGCCTTCAGCGAGTTCATGGGGGTCATGTACGACTACATCCGGCTGGAAGGGCCTCCCGGTTCTTGGCGAGATCCCACACAACTTCCGTGAATGAATTTAGAAGGTTGTGCCATATGTTTTTGCAATTTTGTACACAACTTGTAGAACGTAGGTAGTTCGGTGAGGAGTGCATTTTGACCCCCGAGCTCACCATCATGCGGCCGGGTAAACATTAAACTCGAAAGCACGTAAAAATGTAGAAAATCAGAAATATCTGGATATTTTGGCAACAAGCATGTTTGAGTGTTATATCTGTGTTCAATTTTTTGCGAAGAAATGGCATTTGTG